GTATTAGAATAAGGATATTGTTAAGAAATGGCCCATTATGGACCTATATTGAACTGAACTGAAAATATGTACTGTACCGCAGTCGGAGCACTGGAAAACGTAGTGTTCTGCAGTCGGAGCACTGAAAAACGTAGTGTTCCGCAGTCGGAGCACTAAAAAATCGTAGTGTACCACATGGCGGAACATTAAAAAATAATGTACCGTTGTGTTGTTTACGATTTGTGAGAAAAGTTAGATGTTTGATATTTTTGATAATGCAAAAATTACTAATGCAATTCAATATTATGAAAATAAAAGCTGAATTTATTTAGTGGTAGTGTGTCGGTACACTACCGCTAATTTTTTTAGTGATACTGTACCGGTACAGTACACTATGTGTACTGTTTATTTTCGAACGCTGCTTTTGTATGACCCATATGTAATAGTATACCTTAATTTAGGTACTTCGAAATATTTGATTGCATTTAACTGAGTTTGTTTAAATTTGAATTTGTGATTTAGGAAATTAAAAAGGATCTATGAAGTTTGTGTCAAAGGTTTATTTTAAACCATTTTGTGTATAAGACATTCCTGTTCTAATAGCAAAAGAAAAAAAAAAAACAATTATTGATTTAATGAAACACATTCAAGAAGATATTGTGCTTCCCTCTATACGTATGAGCATGTATCTTCTACCACTTTACAAAATATGTATGGTAATACCTATGCAAATTATCAGAATAAATCATTTAACCATTTATATACATTTTTTCTGGTCAACGGTACCACTAATTGTTGAAACTGACACAAAATAGCTGTTCTTCATATTTTTCATTGATAATCCTTCCGTCGCACAGACGGGTGAATAATTTTAAAATAGATAATTTTATTTTAAAATGGATATATCGACTATAGGTAGTTACAAGTATTTTATAATATTTTGAAAATTAACTGAAAATATGGCCATATTTTCGCCATATCCGAAAAGTATATAGAATTAAAACAAGCCAAACTTTGAATACCCTCCACAATTTGGAACAAATTTGGCAATTTTCAAAAAAAATAAAAAATTCTGTTAAAATCTTAAAAATACCGAATGTAGCCGTTATATTGGGGTGTATACGACGTCGCGGACCTGCATAGGCAAATTTTGCCATAAACCATTACATTATTCGAGTGCTAAACTTGAAAAAAAAAATCGAATATACGGAGGTACCATTATATGGGACAGGTACCATTATATGGACCTGCACAGACAACTTTCTGTCATAGGCTATAGTATTCATTACGAACTTCAAATATCAAATTTGAAACAATTCCGGTGAATTTAGTCGCTTAAATCATCAAAACACTAAATATCGGTAGGTACCGTCATATGGGTGCTATACGAAGACGTGGACCTGCAAGGACAGTTTTCGGTCATAGGCTGTAGTATCCACTACGGGCTATACGAAGGCGTGGACCTGCACACACAATTTTCCGTCTTAGACTGTAGTATCTATTACGAACTTCAAATACCAAATTTGAAACATTTCCAGTGAATAATGTCGCTTATATCACCAAAATAGTTAGGTATCATTATATTGGGGCTATACCAAAACGTGGACCTACTTGGCCCATTTTCCATACCAGAAGTCCTGCAGACATAATATATATTTGAGTAAAATTTTATCAACCTACTTCATTTCGTTCGGAAGCTTCCACAGACGGACAGACGAATAGACGGACGGACATCGCTAAGTCGACATAGAATTTTATGCTGATCAAGAATATATATACATACTTTGTGGGGTCTAAAATGTATATTTCGAGGTGTTACAAACGGAATGACAAATTTAATATACCATCCATACTATAGTTCTAGAAGGTCCTAACATTTTAGTTTTGTATTTTGGTATGGAATGACATTTTTCATAATTAACAAAAAAATCCTGCCGATTTTGTTTTATTTAAAAAATGGTTAACTAGTGAATAATACTAAATAAATTCGGTGAATAATACTAAATAATAAGTTAAAAAACTCTATTTGAAATAGGGAAGCAAATATGACTTACATATAATAGTGAACCTATCTTCACAACATTTTGCAGGGAGAAATCCTAAAAAATTTGAAATTTTAAAATGAATCTTCACAAAACTTATCAGGGAGAGATTCTGTATGCCTTGGGTTTGAAATTGTGGTCGAAACCTTGAAAATACCGACATTTTGGAGGTACAGTAATATGGAGCCTATACCAAATACTGGAGTAATCTTGAAAAGTATTAGCATGAGTAGATTATATCTACTCAGAACTTTAAATGACAAGTTACACATAATTTGGTTTAAAATTGTGGTCAAAACATTCAAAATATCGAATATCAAGAAGTAGCGCTATATGGTTCCACACCGTTTTTAATGCCAAACATACTGAATATATTATTATAAATGTCTCAAAATCACCGGGTCTAAATGGTCTGTGATAGATAGTGTCTATCTGGTTTTATTTTTCTCTCCAAATTTCAAATCATTGAGCTCGTCTCAAAACTATACTACAATCGTTTTGGGCTATACTATGCATTAATTCAGACTGTAAGAGGAAGAAGACTATGAATTATGGGTGAAAACTCAATTCATAATCTCAATGGTAGATTAAAAATAGAATCCACTATCTTCTGCAAATCCACTTCATCGCCTAATGGGTTATGAGATCGCAGTAATACTTAGACTTCTCTTAAATGTATCTATGACGATAAGAGTTGATTTTGCGTATTTTCCTCTAATAAAACGTTAATGGATATCTTTATGTTGCTGTAATAGAACACGATACATTGTTTGTAATATAAATTTAGGTCGATATGAAATTAAATGTGAGCATTTTTAATTAACGTACATTAAAATTTTGATTCAAAACAACTGGAATCTAATATCACATTTCATGGACATTCCCCTTTTTAATTAAGCTAAAATGTGCTAAAATGTTCATTGTTACGTAATGAATGCAAAAATTTGTACTCAGGCTTTTGACGTTTTCGACGCTTACAATTTTATAAATGTCAGAATCTAGAAAAAAATCGTAGCAGATGACAACGAAATAATGAAATTAAAAAGATATCACATACTTTAATGAGGTATTACTCAATTTTTATGCTCTAATAATAATAATTTAGTACCTGGTTCAATCTTTCACCAGAATTGGAATCGAATTGTATTTGAAGGTCGAGTGTTGGGAATTTATAGATATATTGAACATATTCCCATTAAACTACGTGACAATTAAAAAATATCAGATATACAGGCATGTAACAGGAACGGGTTCCGAACGCTTCTTCAGAAAACGATTTTTTTTTTGTTTTTGGTTTGAAATATTTTTTTGATTTTGGAAGTGAAATTGTATTTTTATTTTAAACTTGCTTCTTTAAACGCTCTCAAAACAATTTAAAATGATAAAAACGTTGTTGTAATAACAAATACACCCCAATGTCTTTTTTATCTTTTAATTTTAAATAATTTGCAAATTTTAGTTGTTTCTACTATTCCATTATTAATTTTTTTCTTAAAACAAAAAAATGGAAAAATAAACAATCTGGCAATAAATTGAGGCAAAGATAAAAACAAACTCAAAAAAGTAAAAGATGTAAGTTCGGCCGCGCCGAACTTTGGATACCCTCCAACATTTGGAACGAGTTTAGATATTTTCAAAAAAAGAAATTCCGTATGAAGCCGTCATATTAGGGTCTATACGACGACGTGGACCTGCACCATCAAAATACTGAATATAGGGAGGTACTAATATATGGGAGCTGTACCAAAACGTGGACCTGCACAGACAATTTTCTGTCATAGGCTGTAGTATCCATTACAAACTTCAAATACCAAATTTGAAACAATTCCGGTGAATAATGCCACTAAAATCATAAAAATACGAAATATCGGGAGGTACCGTTATATGGGGTCTATACGAAGACGTAGACCTGCAGAGACTATTTTCTGTCTTAGGCTGTAGTATCCATTTCGAACTTCAAGTACCAAACTTGAAACAATTCCGGTGAATAATGTCGCTAAAAGCATCGATCATCGGGAGGTACCGTAATATGGGTGCAATACCAAAACGTGGACCTACATGGCCCATTTTCAATACCAAAAGTACTATACATAATATACATTTGAGTAAAATTTTATCAACCTACTTCATTTAGTTCGGAAGCTAAAGTGATTTCCACAGACGGACAGACGGACGGACATCACTAAATCTACATAGAATTTCATACTGATCAAGAATTTATATACTTTGTGGAATCTAAAATGTATATTTCGAGGTGTACAAACGGAATGACAAACTTAATATACCCTCCATACTATGGTATACCCTCCATTTTGTGCAAAAATGTAAGAATTTTAACATGTATTTCAAAATATGAATAACGTTATAATGATTTAGGGGCAAGCGCAGAAATTTATTTATAGTTTAAAACTATACTTGTAATTAAAATGCTTACACTGCACTTGGGTAGAACAAGGGGTTTGGAGTATCTCTTAAATTCCTCCGGCGTATTTTTGAAGTATAGCGTTCATTACTGTATTGCGTTTATTGATTTCAAACCATTACGACTGGATTTTGTGACATGCCTGATAATGAAAGAGTGAAAGCCCTTAATTTATACTGTAAAAAACACAAAAGGATCCAAATTTGAATGCAATAAATATTTGAAATGAAATAAAATTAAGGGATCAGTAATACCAGATTGTTGCTTTTAGCAACAATAAAGAAATAAAGAATTGAGTATGCATTGGTACATCCTTGATAAGAATCACAAAAATACCATGCGTTTGATGTCTACAAAACGCATTAAATTACATAATATTATGTTTTATGGTGGTAAGTTGAAACGAATATTACACCTTAATTAGTTAAAATGACTTCAAAGTAGTTATCAAACTCACCAACAGACTTAAGTTTCCTTGGAAAACATAAATAAAAATAAGCTCATAAATCTTATACGCTGAAGGTCAAATGCGAAGCCAAATAAAAATCAATAATCAATTATCTTTTTAAATACAAATTGGTTTTCTTTTTATTTACGAGAAATATTTCTATCTAAAGACCTTTTCTAAAGTTCGAAGAATATTTTTAAGAACATAACAATATCAAAAAGAGAATGGCAATTAATTTAATTTAAACTAATTGCTAAACAATAGTGGAAAATAATATTTAATATTTATATAAAGGACGACATTGAATTCAATACACGAAAAAATAATAGTAACACCAAATACAATACAATTAAAGCAAGGAAGAGAAATATTTTATATGAACAAAACGGTATAATTGAATTAATAATTATGGAAAAATATAAATTCAGACAATAGACAAATGTGTGCGATTCAATTACACATATTTTTCTTTAAGTAAAGTAAGGCTTTGTAACAAAACATTAAGTTATTTCAATTATTTACGAGAAAAAAAAAACAAACAAAAACAATTACAACATAAAAATATGACAATTTTCCAGCTTCATTTGCTAACATAAGGTGGTTTCTTGCGTATTTTTGATTTTTTTTTTTCGTGTGTCGTGTACATTGGAGAAATGGTATTCAAAATTCATATGAGATCCCAAAAAAAAAAAAAAAGAATTACAATAAAATTAAGGATTTACACATATGTAACTATACTACAAAAATAATAAAACTAATATTAAAGTTTATATAATATTTTCTTTTTGCACTTGGTTTTTGTTGTTGTTTTCAATTCGCTTCGAAGAGTTCCTTTTGCTGAATGTTTTCGCTCTAAAAAGCTGATACCTTTAAGTTGATGTAGAAATAAAATGAAAAATGACAGTGGTATGCTCGGTGTGTTTTTGTTACTGTTCTTTTGGTTAATATAATAGTTGTGGATGCCACTGATGTTGTTTTAAATGTTGTTCTTCGTGTTCCTATTGCAATGTTGTAAAGCTAATACTAACTTTTACTTAAAGCTTTTTTCTTTCTTTGTACTAAAATATCATAGAACGGATTATGACTAATGGATTGTGTTAGCCGCTTAATCCATTCCTGTTGATCTTCCTCGGTGGCAGCAGACATGCGATAAACGCTATGCTTGCCTTCAACAACCTAAATGTGTGCAAAGAAAAAAGTAGAATATTAATTTGCCGGGCTATAGACAATAATTCAAGCTTATGACTTACCTTGCCTTCCGAATCAGTCTTACATGCTTTAATAATTTCTGCTCCACCAGTAGCAAAGAGTTCAAAGCAGTTGGGTTTGCTGCGATCGTGAATTTCTCGAACCTGTAATCAAAGCAATGGAGGTTATAGAAATATGTTCCAAGAGGATCAAGTCCCATGCTTACGAATTCAACCAACAAACGGGAGAGAAGGATTTAATATGAGCAACGGATTGGATAGGTTAAGATTTCCGAGATCAATTTGTGATATGACGTAACAAAATATAAGATACACATTTGTGCATTCTCACGGGATGAACTGATTCCATCCGAAAAGTCAGTCCAATTTGATAACCAAAATAAGGCACGCATATGATAAGGGAATGTCTTATGCAAATTTCAAATCAAAACACGAGATCTATGAGTGCGTATCCACCTTATTTACGACCGGCAAAATGTAATTGAGTGATTATATAAAAGAATTTCAAGAAATTATGCACAGTGGCATATGAAGAGTTTCTGTCATAACAATTTGTTAACAACAAACTGATAATAATAAAAGTTACAAATTCCTTATGTCTTGTTGTATTCCACCACACCCACAGAAGGGGTTAATTTAACTTTATTTCTACCGCCCCAATCCATATGCCATTCTCCTTTGTAAATTAGCAGTTAGACAGATTACCACACCTTGGATTAAAATTTAAGAAAATTTGGAGAGACAAATTATATACACCACATAAAAAGATTCTAAGTTCATAAATCGAATAACAAACGTATAGAAAAACATAAGAATGACTTTCGATCATAACAAATAATTGCGGATGTTAAAACTTCGAATCAAGAGTAAATTCTGGACACTTGATTGATTTATAGAATTATAGACCTCGTGATGTAGCGTTGTTTGAAGTATAATGGAATATTTGCACATTTCCGGCGACGAGTATTAAAATCACAATGTGTTTACCTCGAAAAGGGAAAAATCTACAAGTTTTGTAGATTGTGGAAATAAAATATTTCTTCCTTGTGCAAATTTGCGATTTTTTAAACTTTTCTGATATATTAGAATGACATTTAGTATTGCCATACACTTGGAATCAGGAGGATTTGAATTTATTATTTGAAATGTTAGATGAACGGACGACTACAATTAGAGGAATGCAAGCAATAAGGGAAGAGCGAAATACCAAAACACCAACAAATACTAAAACACATTGTGTCTAATTAACATTCTGCCAAAACCACCTTTGCAAAATACTCATACTTACACATATATTTTCCAATGGTATTATCCCCCTGGGTTCTTTATCTGTTGTATATTCAAAATAATATAAACAATTGTCGTTCAATATAAACCATCGCCTCTTCCATGATTTGTATCTGGAGAACATACTAAAAAGGTTAATATCATTCCAAATACTAAATTTCAATTAATTCGAAATCACTTACCTGCCACCCTGTTTCCACAGCCAACCCTCTTTGTCGGGATTGAAGAAGGTGTGCATTAAATCATTACCATCATCTTGGGGTATTTTAAACGGTTCCGTTCGTATGGATTCGTATAGAGATTCAAGTAGGGTTCGTGGCAAATCACCGCCGTTGTTGATACCGCGATTCATTGAGATGAATTGTTCAACTGTGGGTTTGTCTTTGACCTAATGGGGAATATGGAAGTATATTTGATGAATTAGTACTTAGTTATCGAAACATGCCATATTATTTACCGCCACACTACACTCATATATTTTAATAAACAATATCTATATATTCTCATAAACGATATAAAGAAATCTGCCACCGAAACAAACATTAATATGCATGTTGGGAGAATTGTAATTGATCTTTATGATATTATCTTTATCTCAACATAAAATGAAGGTGAGGTTAGGGTGAGAATAGAACTCTATTGTTTTTGAAGATGATTGCAAAATATTAAGGCGTTGAAATGGACAAAAAATTAAAAAAATCCTGACTTTGAAATGGCTCTAAAGGCCACAATCATGAACCAATCGACGCTGAAATTTACATGGAGTTAAAATTTAGGACTGGCCAGAAGTATATCAATTTGGACGGTCGTCGCATAATATTTAACGGGTAAAGTAGACCCTAACTTTTATGTACCCCGAATATTTTTATTATATAATAATAATAATATCATTTATTCCATTTTTTGTCATACTTTCTTACAGTTGTGAACTGTAAATTTTCTTTCGTCTCTCAATGAGTTTTATCATAGGACCCTCTTAAAATTCTAAAATTGTCGTCAGTAATTATTTTCTCTCTCAAGCTCTCTTAAATATCCAAAATAGTTTATTTTATAATGCAAATGGTGGGAATTTTGTCTGTTACTTTATTTAAAAGATAAATCTACATTTATAACAAGTTAAAAAGTTAGAAATTCTTGAAAATATATTTTTTAATATTCTGCCAAGGGACTGATGATGCAAATTTTCGCATACAAAACATCTCTTTTTGATTTATAAATACATAAAATGGCAGCGATAAAAATAAACGATTTAGGCAACCGCTGATTGTCATAGAAAGCATAAAATAAATACATGCACAAAGGCCCTTGGACTAATGGCACCAGAAGAATGAGAAACACGATTGGCATTTGCTAAAAGTAGCAAGGCTATGCTGTTCAATAAATGTAGATGCAAGAGGAAAATACTTCTTTTCCCCTCTTTAATATTTTGCATAGAAATATACTGCAAATTCAAAAAAAGCTATCTCTAACGTTATGGAGAATATACGGAGTGTGTAGTGTGGAGACATAATATACTTAATATTCTATAGAAACACATACCGATGGATTGTGTAACGATGTATTTAACATGATGATGGCAAAACTTAAAACATAACAGGTATCGGTATTTGTGAATATATCAGGGTTTAGTTGACAATAACGCTGGGCAAAGCATTCCATCATGCGATCAATTTTTTGCGCCTCACCGGGCAGCCGAAAGGACCATAAAAATTGTCTGCAAAGCGTTAATGAAAAGAAATAAAAAAGAGAAAATAAAATATGAATATTTATTGATAATGGTTGAGTAAATAAAAATGTAGTCAATGTTTACCTTAAAGCTTGAACCAATATTAAATTTGTAAAATCGTGCAGTGCCACAAAAGCTTTTAAAACTTCCTTGTTAAAGTCATTGTTTTCTCCCAAATAATCACCTGCAAGGAGAGAAGAAGAAAAGGAATGGGATTTATTAAATTTGATAAATGCCTTTGTATGATTTAATACTCTACGCCCCACTTTCATAGAGGGTGATGTGAATTTATTATGTATGCTTGTCTTTTTGTTATGTGTGCTTGTCTGTCTGTCCATGTATTTTTGTAAACAAAGTACAGGTCCCAAATTCTTACCCACTTAAGGTAACATTTCGCACAGTTTATTTATTTGGTCCTAGGACGAACCAATGGATGATGATCGGTTTAGATTTGGATATAGCTGTCATGCATAATTTAGAACTACTATAACTATCTGTGCACTAAATATGTAATATCTCTTCCAACAAGATGGATATTCTACACAGAGTTGTATTAGTTGTGGAAGTCTTGAAGATTTAGTAAGAAGATATAACTATAAGTCCTATATATGTTTCATCCTATTTGATATTTTATTGTTAATTATAGCCGTATTATACACTATACAGGGTGAGATGAGAAAACTGCAACCAACTTCAGACTGATGTCATTTTTAAGCCACTCGTCCGACAGCTGTTAAAATTGTTCTAGTGACAGCTCATTATATTTTTTACAAGCGTACAAAAGCATTTTGGTGAGAATTATCCAAAAAAAAGTTATTCGTGATGAAATTCAAGCGTGATATAATGTAAATAAATAAATGCGATACTGGTAGGGTAGCCCGACGTCAAGGAAGTGGACGGAAGAAATGCCGAATAATATCGCGAAAATTTCCTGGAGGGTATTTTAATGCCTTGGGCACGCATACATTTTGGCCGCAGACCTTAAACATTCCAACAGGACTCAGTACCATCGCACTCACCACGCGCCACCCAAGAGTGGTTACAAAATGAGGTTCCTCGCTTCATTTCCAGAGTACAATGGCCACCAAAATCTCCGGATACCAATGCGTTGGATTATTGTGTCTGGAGTATTTTGGAAAGCAAATACCAAAGTGTCGATCACCGGACGGGAATGGGCCAGAATACCGCAGGGCAACATTCGGGCAACATGTGACGGTTTTATTGGCCGTTTGAAGGCCATAATTCGTGCCAAAGGTGACCAACTCGACACATGGCATCAATGTAGACCCGAAATACCTCTTTTTGTCGATATTGGTTTAGATTCGGTTATATGTCCCACATATTTCTCCCACGATGTTAATGATACACCAACAAATTGTGCATACAGGTTCCCACCAAGTTAAAAATCGATCGGGAAATTCAATTTAGATAATAAGATGAATGCGTGGTATGGCTTTCGACAATGATAGGGTCAATAAACTCTTTTAAAAATGTTCGTAAATTTTCTTTTTCTTCCATTACAAAGTCCTGTTTGTAATGGTTTATCTCTTATGAGAGGTTATATTCAATTGCATGATTGTTTTGTTCTGTTTTCGTTTATTTTGTTTATATGTTTGAATTTAGGTACCTCAGTTCTATGTAAATTCTATTTGATGTATTTTGTTTACATAGCTTTTCGTAGTGGCCTTGTATCGCTTAATTTGTTTATTTGATTTGCCAAGAATGTCTATCTATTGTTTCTTTTATACAAATGGGTATTTCGTTTCGATGTTGTTTTTTTTTTTTTTTTTTCTTTAGAATTAAATTTTTCTTGTGGTTTTTTTTCATTGTAATTGAATGCATCATCGTTATCGACAAAGGGTGTTAATTGTCTAACAATGACGTCGTAAATAGACTCTGAAATTAATACCCAATAGGTGTGTGGTGTGATATAATATTGTTTATAATAAAAAAAATACATACCTATTGCCGTTTTATTGAGACCTTCACCTTTGTAAAGGAAATGTGCAACATCTTGTGGATCGTGTCGTAGTAGCCGATGTTCAACCAAGTGTTCGATACCTGAAAGAAAATGTAAAAAAATGGTAAGGAATGAGTACAATTGTTTCAAAAGAGAATAATAGATGGTTTTAATCTGATTTTAATAAATCTCACACAGATTTACTAAAAATGAATACATTTCTCCCACTGTCATCACTTCACTTTTATTACTAACTATATGTCGTTTAAAATGATAATGTGAAAGTGGCGGCAAACAAGATGGTGTGCGAATACCTTGAATACATTTAATTTGTTGTGTTATTTGCATAAAGATGAGTCAGACAACAAGATTTTGAATGAACATCAAAAAATCTCTGAATGAAGTGTTCAACAAAACACAACACAAATGATTTTTAGTCTAATGGAATGCAAAAAATCAATGAATATTGCTTAGAATCTAGAGACAAAAGTGTGTACTGACAGAATGACTCAAAATTAAGCACTAACTACCGGCAAACATACAGCCACACACATGTACATATGTTAATAAATAATTCTGGTGTTGCAGTTTTATTGAAAACGATAAATATACGTTTGCCAAAATGTAATTGATTGTCAGGAAGTTAATATGAAATGACTTTATCGGAAGTTTGTAATTTAGTATGCTATTATTTGCAGACTACTATATTTAGAATGATTTAATGATAATTTTTTCCATTTAATTTGAGTGTCATGTGGGTGGGACGAAACAGGAAGATTTTTTGCATTAAGAAACTTCATCAGTGCGGTTGGTGAATAGATAAATAGGCTTGTAACGTCTTTTGTTATTTTTCCACGTTTAGTATGGAATATATTACCAATAGTGTATTAAGTATCTATGTAAACGACTTATATACTCTTTATTAAAAAATTAAACTAACATTTATTAAAAAAAAAAAAAATCCAAATGTTCTCATCTAAATGCATTATTACGTATTTTCTTTTAACCAAAAGGATTATTTCCTATAGAAAACTGTTTTTAAAACACTCACAGTCTTAGCACGCAGAGAACATAAATCCATTCTTACATTTTATTTTGCATTACTTAATTAGTTTCATAGATTCATATCACAAAATTACATTCTATTGAAATAATGTGTATCACCCAACTGGCTCAAGATTTAGAGTTTGTATGAAATCTGAAACACAATGATTTCGAACGTAAATGCGTGTAAACATTAGAGCATGAATCAAATAGACAATAGGAGAAACATTCAAAATTAAAGGTACACAAATTTAAATGTACATCTTTATAAATATATTCAAAACCTATTACTACCAAATTAAAGAAGTAAAGAAAAGTCAAGCCGGGGAGGGAGGGGCCGACCGCATGATACCCTACACCACTATGCATATTTAGTAGAGCTCCTTTAACAAAATAATTTGTTTGAAGTAGATCATACCACCTATCAATATTTGGCGTTAGAGCATTTATCATTTGATTTCAAGGGGATCTAATATATGTGAGACATATCCAATTCTAAATTTGACGGAGACATTTTTTCTTTTATACCAAAGGGTGAGATAAAAAAAACTGCAACAAAGTCAAACGCCATAATTTTTACAATTTTTTTAAATTTTATTGAATGAAAACAAAAAATGTCGGAAATTGCATCAAATTTTTTGCTCTGCGGTATTTTGGCCCATTCCCGGCGAAGCGCTTGCTTGAGGTGATCGACACTTTGGTATTTTAAAGTGCCAACCTTGCTTTCCAAAATACTCCAGACATAATAGTCCAACGGATTAGTATCCGGAGATTTTGGTGGCCATTGGAAATGAAGCGAGGAACATCATTTTGTAACGCGTGCTGATTCCTATAGTGCTGATTTCGGTTGGAATGTCCAAGGTCTGCAGCCAAAATGTTTGCGTGCCGAAGGTTTTAATACACCCTCCAGAATATGTTCGCATTAATATTCAGCCTTTATTCTGATGCCACGGTCGATGAATATGAGCGGAGAGCGACCATCGGCTGTTATGGCGGCCCGCACCGTCACCATGGCCGGCGCTTAAGTTCTGGTGCACATTTTCAGCTGGCTTTACCCCGTGCTTATTTCTCAATATTTGCCAAATGGAATATTGCGATATGTTCAGCTCACGAGCCATTTTTCGGCCACTGCGACGAAGTTTCTATTAAGTAGCTTCTTTACTTTTCGAACCATTTCTACTGATGTTGCTGTTTTCTTCCGCCCACTTCCTTGACGTCGGTCTACGCTACCAGTATCACGATAACGAACGATGGTACGAGACACAAAATATTTATTCACACTTAAATGCTGGATTGTACGATTTTGTACGCTTGTAAATAATATAATGAGCTGTCACTGGATAATTTTAACAGCTGTCGGACGAGTGGCTTAGAAATGACAGCAGTCTGAAATTGGTTGGAGTTTTTTCATCTCACCTTGTATATATATATCCAAATCTGAAATGATCTTGATACAACTTGGCAGAGGTATTTTATATTTATAGCAGCCCATTTGACAATGAAGGCAACACGAAATTTTATGTTCCCATGTATCGCAATTACAGAAATTGTGTTTCCCACAAATTTAGCCTCGAATAAGTCTAGATTTTTAGGAAATCATTGATGTCCTTCGTTTTACCCCAATAACCAACAATTATTGAAATAAAAGCCTTTCTTGTCTTCTAAGCCTTGTAGGGGATTCTTTCGATCCTAATCATCGGAGTATAAGGATGAGTTTCCTTGAGTTAGTTTTATTAAACTTAACACTTGACATCTATATATTTTCACAAATCCAGCTGTATAAAAAATCTATAAGATTGGTTTTGCCTTCTTCGAAGACCGAACTCTTTTTACATAGACTAATCGATTTATCGAGTACTTCTTTACCTTGTTGCCCGGGTAACTTTCTTCTGTTTCAGACTCTGAATTAACACTCGTTATAGTCGAAGCTTCTTGCGAAATGTTGGTTCAAGATGGGAAATGTAGTAGAGAGCAAAAGTCTACTCATGTTTTTCGTTTTTCTGTAATCAGCTATAACCAAATTCGTCGTTTTATCAATCGTTTCATAATTTTTGTCTCTTACGAGAATGAAAAATCGACAAAAATCTATGATGTCAAAATATTTAACACAAGCCGACTTTTCGATTTTTACAATCAAAAGTTGAATTACGTTTCCCTAGTGCGATATTAAGTTGTTATTGGTTACTTTATACACCCTGATGTTGGGTCAGAATGATCAATGTTAAAAATATGATGTCAAAAATGCCAGAAAGTGATGAAGATGACATGTAAATCATGAATATGTCATGACAATGTATCGTCGAAAATATCACATCAAGGAATTAGTAAAACTGTAATGAGAAATGATAGGCAAAAATGATTTTGGGCAAACTAGTCTAAATGGAATGGAAGATTCCCATAATAGATGTAATGCCAAGTCACTTCCACCGCCCATGATTGAACTCATTCTTTGGCATCGAAGGACAAAATTACAGGATACGTGTAATCACATAATATATTTCTGTTTATACAATAATTGTAATTTTAGTTTCTCAATAATCAGTTTCCCTATCGAAAATTATTAAAGATTGTGAAAATAAAATTCGCCCAAAAAACATAAGTCATCATTAACTTATCGATTGCTTACCTTATCGGCATTTAAAATGAAATATCGAATGCGTATGGTCAGATACCAACCAACGTCACTGTCTATCTAAGCTATGTGTGAAGCATGAAAACAAAAATCGTCATCAGACGTAGCCTTGTTTGTGCATACGTTAAACCCTTGATAATTCAAACGGTTTATATGTATGTCTGTGTATGATAATAAAGTGTATTTTTGTAACAACGCCATGGTTTCGAATGACAAACCAATCCTCTTCACAAAGAAGAAAGGCAGACGACCAGACAGAAAGAAAAAGGACACAAAAGTCTGTGGATAAAATTGGGAGACACACTAAAATTCCAGAACCACATTGGCAATGAATATCCAGTGGTAATGTCAATATTTTATGTGACTGTAGGTATTATTATTTTGTTTTGTTTGTTTTTGCTTCTGATGTGGTTTTATGTTTACACATTTAATTCATGGTTGGTTAATAAATGAAAATATATGAGAAGGAGAAATGAAAAGTGACAACAAATACGTATTGTCGTATGATATCAATGCCAATTGGAGATTGATTGGATTGTTGCATATAGTTGAAGACATTTTGGGTGTTATTTTTATTGTCGACATTTCCAATTGGAATTTACACAAAGTTGAATCACTGGTAATACTAATACACATATTTTTGAGAAGGTGGTACATATTGAGAACTCTACATCAAACTTTAAAAAATTATATTGAAAAATGAGCTAAAAATCATTCAAAAACCGAATATCGTTGTGTACCCTTATATGGGGGCTATAAAAAAGTGAAAAAGCGAAGACAATTTCCTGCAAAAAAAATTGTAACTATACAGCCAAACGCAGCAATATACGGTTGAAAAATATGACTTAAACTCAACAATTCCACTGAACTAAAATGGAATTGAGTGAAAATTTCATCCTATGCTGACCTCAGTGTGAGTACTTAAATCAACATGTGTTATCGGATTAAGGTTTGTTTCGAGAATCAGAATTTGTTATCATAATCTTTTTGAGATCAACATGTTTAAAAATCCAGATGAGCCCAGTCGCATTGAAGTCTTCGGATATGTGTAGACAACATTTGTGTCCTTTAGTGATCTCATCAAATACAGAAACAGATATGTTTCTTCCTCAATGAGGGACTCATAACCGATTGTAATGACAATTTGTATTTAAATGTATTTATTCAATAAAGGATTTTATTGACAAGAAACAACAAACAAATTCAAAGACAGAATGGACACATTTGTTAAACAAAATGTTATTGAGGAATGTTATGGGGACTTGGAAAATTCCAAAATAATCAACGTTTTTAATCCGGACTTTGTCGATCTCGATGCCGTTTCTTCTCCAATAATCTACACAGTCTACATTCGGTGCTCAAAACATACCCTTCCCATGTTTAATATCCAGAGCATCAATTTTCGCTATAGAAACCGTGTTTACA